TACACACACACACACACACACACTACCGGTCAAAAGTTTGGGATCGGAACGATTTTTTATGTTTTTTACAGGAGTTTCTGATGCTCATAAAGGCTGAAAAAATTTTATATTGTGAAATATTATTATGATGTAAAATAACGTTTTTCCATTTTAATATACATTAAAATTTTATTTATTCCTGTGATGCAAAGCTGAATTTTCAGCATCATTACTCCAGTCTTCAGAGTCACATGATCTTCAGAAATCAGTATAATATGCTGATTTATTATCAGTGCTGGAAACTGTTGTGCTGCTTAATATTTTTTTGGAACCCGTGATACTTTTTTCAGGATTCTTTGATGAATAAAAAGTTAAAAAGAAGAGCATTTATTTAAAATCGAAATATTTTCTAACAATATACACTACCGTTCAAAAGTCTGGGGTCAGTAAATTTTTATTCTTTTTTTGAAAGAAATTTAAAACATTTATTCAGCAAGGATGTGTTAAATTGTTAAGAATTGATAGCAAAGATTTATATTGTTAGAAAATATGTATATTTTGAATAAATGCTGTTCTTTTTAACTTTTTATTCATCAAAGAATCCTGAAAAAAGTATCACGGGTTCCAAAAAAATATTAAGCAGCACAACAGTTTCCAGCACTGATAATAAATCAGCATATTAGAATGATTCTAAAGGATCATGTGACACTTTATACTGGAGTAATGGCTGATGGAAATTCAGCTTTGCTGAAACCCAAACTTTTGACCGGTCGTGTGTGTGTGTGTGTGTACTTTTTTTTTTTTTTTTTCTTCTTTTTAAATATAAGATATTTTTATATATTTTTTGTTTTTTTAATATAGATAGATAGATAGGCAGACAAAATATAATATTTTATATCTTTTTTGACAATAATAACATTTACCATTTAAAGGTTATTGGCCATAACGTGACTAATTACTGTATCGAACCAAATTTTCATACCAGTGTATCTCTAGAAGTAATGGAAGTTTGTTTATTTGCTAGTGAATTCACCCAGGCCATGTGTTCTTCTCAAGTGTGAAAAATTCCGTCATATCACTCTCATCAGGGTGATGTAGTTTGTCTTTGGCACCTTGAGGAGTGTCAGGCTCTCTTGTCCGCTTTTGCAGAGCTACATTTATGGGGCATGTCTTTTCTGCGCCACTGATGGAGGTCTGGCATTGCCACAGAAGCGGGTCAGATTAGGGGGGCATGACTCATTGTCCTGCCCTGATCTATAAGAGGCCCACTTCTATGACTCATAATCCTGTTAGTCATCACGTTATGGCCACTGATATGTCACTCTGGGGGTCGGCGTCCTCACACGCATAATAGCCAAGGACAACAGGGCTATTTGTATCTCATTTTAATCGAGAAATAAGGTTGGAAGTCGGGGTGATGAATTTATTTGGAGTTTGGAATACGTATACAATCCCCATTGCTGTTTTAATTCATCCACTGGCTGTGCCAAGTGGGTCGAAATAGTTGGCAGAAAGTCGCTTTACCCCAAATCACTATTTTCAGTCTTGTCTGTTCCATTTAGTGGGGTACATTACCCTTCCCGTTTAGGTTAGCTGGTTTTGAAGGGGACATCATGGGCTGTGGAATTATGTTTCCTCGGGACTACGTGCTGGACTATGAAGGTAAGAACACGCATTTGGTGCTCATTAAAGGAGATGAGAATAAGTTTTCCATTTTGCTCATATTACTGCCAATACATGCTTGAAAATGCATACTTTGATCAATTTAGCATGCTGTAGTACAAGTTTTTTAGATGTGCATCCAGCTCAATTGGTTTCTCTGTCAGATGAAATGGACGACTGGGATGTTGCTGATGTACGACCAAAGCAGGGGCGTGTTGAAAACTTACTGTATTTGAATGATGAAGATGAGGAAGAGGGAGATGATCCAGAACAAGAACATGAGGGCCGAAAGGTTATGGTGAGTATTTTTGTAATATTTTTGTTATATAAAATTTTTTTGCTTATAGTAATGGCTGATATAGCTTTAAAGGGAACACTCCACTATTTTTGAAAATAGGCTCATTTTCCAACTCCCCTAGAGTTAAACAGTGGAGTTTTACCATTTTCAAATCTATTCAGCCGATCTGATGTAGGTTTTTACATCAGTGGATGTTTTATCAGATATTTCAGGGCAGACGGCACATTAGAGTCAAGTCAGAAAACATGGAGCTGTTTATTCAGGAATTGTCCACTGTAATGTGAGCTAGTCTGGTTCACAAATGCCACGAGCACTTTAGAAACGCCTCAACTTAAGCTGATAGTCTGATGGGCGCGTGGCTGTGATGCTGCGCTCTAGACTTCTCAACAGATGCCACTTTGCACACCTCGCTGTTGCAATAATGCCCTTCCTCTTCTGTTACATATCACATATGGAACTAAATGGTTTCATATTACATACATTGCCAAATTGAATGTCTGATTTGATCCCTCTCGATATAGTTTCACCTTCAACACGTCTTAAAAACAAAGTGTTTGATATTACATTCTTCTCTATATTGCCCTCATTTAGGTCCCTCAGTTTCTGAAGTTGCATTCTACAGTTTACTGGTTGAATGTCAGGACATTTGATTATGTTTGGAATTGGATACTTGCATACTGCACAGTGTATACTGTGTCTACAATTTTTTAAAAGAATATGAGAAACAGTGCGAAATAAAGGAAGCTTGTAATTGTGACTTTTTAGCTCACAATTCTTTGTCTCGTAATTCTAAAAAAGAGACTGAGATAAAGTCACAAAGTAAGAATTGTGCGATTAAAAAGTCACAATTATCTTTAAAAAAATTTATTCCATGTCAAAAGCAAAAAAAAAACAAAATTTGAAAGTCAGAATTCTGTGTGGGGAAAAAATGTGAGATGTAAATTTGGAATTGAGAAAAAGTCAGTGTTCTGAGTTTATATCTTGCAATTCTGTATGTTTCAGTGTTGTTGCATTAAAAGAAACCAAATTAATGACCAATTATTACGCAATCATACATGGCACATCATATCCTTTACCCAAACAATTGCATGTTAGTGATTGTTGTATATCAATCTCTTCAGATAGTAATTTATTTTATATGTTTGTTTCCTGCTCACGCAGCTGGGTAAAACAAAATGTATTAAAAGCATCTCTGTAGAAAAACAATATTCTCTCTCTAGATTTTGTAGCAGTAAATTTATTTGAAACAAAAGTATTCCAAGATATTTGGTCCCATGATAAAAAAAAAAGAAGTGACATTTAAAATAGTTAAATACAATTTTGTAATAAAATAAAACATTCAAAGGTTGCCAATTATCATATGTGGTACAGCCGAGGTGTTTAACATTTAAAGTACATCCAAGTGCATTACAGTAGTGATAGACCACTTGTGTGAAATAAAAAACAAAAGACGGGTGCTTGAACTGAACATACTAAGATTGGCCTAATAATCAAATTTAAATTCTTAAAGCAATAGCAACATTTTTTTCATCTCTCTTTTTAATTGTATTCTGCAGCACAATCAAATATTCCAGCCTATTAGTATATAAAAAAACCTAGAAAAAGTAGAGAATGAATTAAAATTTCATAAAACTAGGCCTGAAGACATGGTAAGAGCTCTAGTGTGTCATCTAGACTAGAGAAACCTTCGGAATAACCTGACAACTACTTGGTTTTTAGTTCATTTACATTTACAGGCACATGTAAAAGCTGAAAACATGAAAAAAATTGCACAAAAGACAGATGGAGACCCACAAACGAAAATACGCTGGTGCTTCTGGGAAATGACAGTCCATGGGCATCTAATCTATCACTCAGACCACATCTTCCTCGTCCTCATCGTCATAATGACGGTTCCTCTTAATGAGGTCCTCCACGGTGACATCCGCTCTGTCTTCCTCAGCTTCTTCTCCATCCCAAAAGCCCACATCTTGTGAGGCCTGGTTCTCCTCGGGATCGAACCCAGACTCGCTCTCGGGCGACGATGAAGGACTGTTGTCTGGTGAGCTGCACTGCAGAGAGGAAAGTTCCTCTTCTTGTGCTTCCACTTTCTCCTCTTGTTCCATCTTTTCTTCATGGTCTTCCTCCTTGGTTTCCGTTTCACCCGGTTCCTCCTCTTCTGATCGGTTGTGTTCGGTCATGTCTTCTGAAGAGATCACAGTGTCAGTGGTGGAAGAAACGGGTGACATTTCCTCCTCCGAGCTAGGCTTCTCATTTGAAGGAGATCTTTGGCATCTCTTGCTGGGTTGGGTGACCCGCGCGGAGCTGAAGATGGAAAACGGCTTGCTTCTCTCCTTGAGTGAGACACTCCTGCGAATCTTTGGGAGATCAGATTGGTCGGAGTTGCTTGATACCGTGTCGCCCTGTGGAGGCCATTTCGGGCGGATGGGTTTGATGCCACTGTCGTCGGTAGATCCACACACATGGGTTGCGCTCTCGTCCCCTTCGGACTGCGGCGGCCAGGAGATCTTGAGTCGTCCCGTCTCCAGTGGCTTCTCCACCCTCCGAGAGGTGGCCTGGGTTCGGGTCTCTAAAGTGGCCGCAAGCACATTCACTTTTACCAGAGACTCCTCTACGGTTGTGCTGGAGGTGGTTTCTTGAGGAGACAGCTTCTCTTGCTCCTCGGCTCCTTCTCCTCGCATCTCCCAAAGCTCTTTGTGGGGTCGGTGGCCGAATCCCTCATCATAGTTGCCCTTGGCTTTAAACAGCTGGCAGAAGTGCGGCTTGCAGTAGACGTTGTTGTGCAAAGAGGCGTAGTTCACCAGACTGACCAAAAGAGGGCGGCAAAACAGTGGAGATTAGAAACATCTCAAATGAAACATCGTTAAAATACTCACACAAATAGCACCATCTAGACCTTTTTATTGACCAAAATGTTATTTTATTTTGTCAAGATGAAAAATGGTTCATCACAACGATGAATTAAATGATTTTAATAATAAAAAAAGTTGATAGTATGAAAAAATGTCAGGTGACCAGCTGGAACAACCAGCTAAAACCAGCTTCTTCCAGCTTAAACCAGCTAAAACCAGCTTAAACCAGCTAAAACCAGTCAACCCGCTTAGGCACGTGATATGCACTAACTTTTCCAACGCAAAACAGTGGAGATTAGAAACATCTCAAATGAAACATCGTTAAAATACTCACACAAATAGCACCATCTAGACCTTTTTATTGACCAAAATGTTATTTTATTTTGTCAAGATGAAAAATGGTTCATCACAACGATGAATTAAATGATTTTAATAATAAAAAAAGTTGATAGTATGAAAAAATGTCAGGTGACCAGCTGGAACAACCAGCTAAAACCAGCTTCTACCAGCTAAAACCAGCTTCTTCCAGCTTAAACCAGCTAAAACCAGTCAACCCGCTTAGGCACGTGATATGCACTAACTTTTCCAACTTTTTTTTTTCTTCTTATGAAGATAAAAGTCTATACAGATTGGCTAAATTCAAAAACCAAACCCTTTTTTATTCTTGCACTAACCGTGAATCATCTGTTTAATCATAGTAAATGCTGAAGAATCAATAAATATTACATTGTTTAAATTGATCACAGCTGACACGATTTTAATCTGGGCGCGAGTTCATGATCAGTCACATTTGAATTAACCGCCGTTTTCTTTCCTGACTGGTGCGCGGAGCTTTTGAGTAGCGCGCACGGGAGCTGCTTGGGACAAACAGTCAACTGACACCAGTAAACTGAAGCGCTTTGCTAGCCGGTCATTTAATTCATCTCATAAATACATATAGAAAACACAAAACTGGCGGGAGCCGCTCCTGTGGACGACGACGGTGACTGGATATGGAACCTTCAAATTATAAACGGTTCATCTCTCCATCTCTGTAAGTTTACTGAAGCTACACATTAAATACACACACTAGACTCTCACGACAAAACAAGTCCAGTTCAGTTCATACAGCAGAGTTTCGCCTAAATTTTGGTTCCGAGTCCGGAAAGTTTACTAGGATGAGTTTGGGAACACAGAATCTGGTTGTCACTTTTGTAAATAACCCAACAGTCTGTAAACATATAACTCAAATACAGAAATGACGACCGTATTCTGCTGCTGTGGACGCGGACAATATTGTTGTTTCAGATAATTTAGTAGTTGTATATACATATACACACATATATACATATATCTACAGTGTTGGGGTAACGCATTACAAGTAACGCAAGTAATCGTAATCAGATTACTTTTTCAAGTAACGCGTTACTTTTTAATTTACAAGAGAATATCGGAGTTACTTTTTCAAATAAGTAACGCAAATGACTTTTTTCCAATTTATTGATTGACAGCTCTCCTGTCCCCTGATGTTAATGTAGTTATAAAATATGAATATGAATTAATTCATCTCAATCACAAAAAAACAAAACAGATTCAGTATAAATGATGCAACTCAGAATATGACGCAAACCTGCAATAATTAAATGTTAAACAACACAAATATCCTTTATGTATTTGTATATACATATACACACATATATACATATATCTACAGTGTTGGGGTAACGCATTACAAGTAACGCAAGTAATCGTAATCAGATTACTTTTTCAAGTAACGCGTTACTTTTTAATTTACAAGAGAATATCGGAGTTACTTTTTCAAATAAGTAACGCAAATTACTTTTTCCCAATTTATTGATTGACAGCTCTCCTGTCCCCTGATGTTAATGTAGTTATAAAATATGAATTAATTCATCTCAATCACAAAAAAACAAAAACAAAACAGATTCAGTATAAATGATGCAACTCAGAATATGACGCAAACCTGCAATAATTAAATGTTAAACAACACAAATATCCTTTATGTATTTAATCCCATTCTATTAACCAGTGTCTTTGCTTTTGACCTTTGATGATCCAGTTCAACCGTACTAATCAGCACAAATTACCAAACATGTGTGTGTCTTTAGTTACTTTTTTATGGAGTAACGCAATATTGTAATGCATTACTTTTAAAAGTAACTTTCCCCAACACGGATTTTATATATATATATATAAAATCTAAGCCCAACGCATTACATTTGACAGTAGTCAGAATCAGATATTCAACATAAACGTGACTTTGTACGGAGTTAACGAAACCATTCACAACATTGTATTTAAATGGTGTACTCATAGTGTTATTTCAGAAGATTGTGTTTTTAAAAATTTTTTTTTACACGTATAATATATAAAATGTTTATAATAGTAAACAGTAAAAACATTCTAACAGTAAATTTAGATACCATTAAAAAAGTAAAACAATATTATTAAAATAAATGAACATGACAAAATATTGACTAAAATATATTTTTGTCAGTGGACAAAAACAGTAAACGTAACACTGGCTATGGGGTAAGCAAACTTATGATCACCCCTCTGCTTCATAAATTGACAAATGGGACACCCTACAGTTATCTGTACTTTTGCAAGTCCACATCAAGTGTTTCAATATAGGATCAGGGCCATATGTTTTTTTTTCTTCTTATGAAGATAAAAGTCTATACAGATTGGCTAAATTCAAAAACCAAACCCTTTTTTATTCTTGCACTAACCGTGAATCATCTGTTTAATCATAGTAAATGCTGAAGAATCAATAAATATTACATTGTTTAAATTGATCACAGCTGACACGATTTTAATCTGGGCGCGAGTTCATGATCAGTCACATTTGAATTAACCGCCGTTTTCTTTCCTGACTGGTGCGCGGAGCTTTTGAGTAGCGCGCACGGGAGCTGCTTGGGACAAACAGTCAACTGACACCAGTAAACTGAAGCGCTTTGCTAGCCGGTCATTTAATTCATCTCATAAATACATATAGAAAACACAAAACTGGCGGGAGCCGCTCCTGTGGACGACGACGGTGACTGGATATGGAACCTTCAAATTATAAACGGTTCATCTCTCCATCTCTGTAAGTTTACTGAAGCTACACATTAAATACACACACTAGACTCTCACGACAAAACAAGTCCAGTTCAGTTCATACAGCAGAGTTTCGCCTAAATTTTGGTTCCGAGTCCGGAAAGTTTACTAGGATGAGTTTGGGAACACAGAATCTGGTTGTCACTTTTGTAAATAACCCAACAGTCTGTAAACATATAACTCAAATACAGAAATGACGACCGTATTCTGCTGCTGTGGACGCGGACAATATTGTTGTTTCAGATAATTTAGTAGTTGTATATACATATACACACATATATACATATATCTACAGTGTTGGGGTAACGCATTACAAGTAACGCAAGTAATCGTAATCAGATTACTTTTTCAAGTAACGCGTTACTTACAAGAGAATAAGAGAATATCGGAGTTACTTTTTCAAATAAGTAACGCAAATGACTTTTTTCCAATTTATTGATTGACAGTCCCCTGATGCCCTGATGTTAATGTAGTTATAAAATATGAATATGAATTAATTCATCTCAATCACAAAAAAACAAAACAGATTCAGTATAAATGATGCAACTCAGAATATGACGCAAACCTGCAATAATTAAATGTTAAACAACACAAATATCCTTTATGTATTTAATCCCATTCTATTAACCAATGTCTTTGCTTTTGACCTTCGATGATCCAGTTCAACCGTACTAATAAGCACAAATTACCAAACGTGTGTGTCTTTTTTTATTGAAGTGTGTTGAAATGTCTTCTTCTGCATTCTACTGTACGGACGTAAATTTGCTTTCGCTTCAGCCTGAGGCTTATTCATTTCACTTTTGGTGTGAAAAGGCTTTTATATTTGCCAAAATTGAACTTTTTTTATTTTAAAAACAAACAAGCAAGCCCTGTCCAGATTTAAAAAGTAACGTAACGCATTACTTTCCATAAAAAGTAACGTAATTAGTTACTTTTTTATGGAGTAACGCAATATTGTAATGCATTACTTTTAAAAGTAACTTTCCCCAACACGGATTTTATATATATATATATAAAATCTAAGCCCAACGCATTACATTTGACAGTAGTCAGAATCAGATATTCAACATAAACGTGACTTTGTACGGAGTTAACGAAACCATTCACAACATTGTATTTAAATGGTGTACTCATTATAGTGTTATTTCAGAAGATTGTGTTTTTAAAATTTTTTTTTTTTACACGTGTAATATATAAAATGTTTATAATAGTAAACAGTAAAAACATTCTAACAGTAAATTTAGATACCATTAAAAAAGTAAAACAATATTATTAAAATAAATGAACATGACAAAATATTGACTAAAATATATTTTTGTCAGTGGACAAAAACAGTAAACGTAACACTGGCTATGGGGTAAGCAAACTTATGATCACCCCTCTGCTTCATAAATTGACAAATGGGACACCCTACAGTTATCTGTACTTTTGCAAGTCCACATCAAGTGTTTCAATATAGGATCAGGGCCATATGGTAGAGTCTCTTGTCCTCACCTGAGTTTAGTGTTGCAGTAGGCACAGCGGAAGCAGGTGTTGTGGTAAATCTGCTGATTTGCTACAAGTTTCTCTAGCGGGTACACGGTCTTAAGGCACGTCACACAGGTTTCAAGGACAGGTAAACGGAACTTCTACCAAGTGCACAAAAACACATACAAATGTTTTAGCCAAAGTGGAAAAAATACAGATAAAACTCAAATTCAATAAATATAAAATAAATGTCAAGTAAATAAACAAATATTTATATATTGACTGAATATTCACCCTAACAGCTTTAGGCTGGTTTTGATCAGGACTTGTAACAGCGCCTGTAAATGGAGAGAACAGTGCTGTCAACCTCTAGATAGCGCTGGCTTCCAAGTGACTAACAGTGCAAGTTTTTGATAAAACACTGAGCTTAGTCAAAAATAAAAGCATGATCAGTTCTCACCATGTGTCGACATACTTACAATACAGTTTAATACAAGATAACAAAATACAGATTAATAACAAGTACAAAATTATTACTCATTATTTGTATGTTATTATAGTTGCAAGAGACTCACCATTCCTGTCTGAATTGGGACTTTTCATAGTGTTGGATTCAGAGCCCTGCAGATACAAAGACAACCAATAAGGAAAGTGCCAGAAACATTTACTACTAAAAAAATTGGATAATCTGTCATGTTAAAATGAAGCTGCAGTTGTAACACTTTTTGCTTTCATAGTGTGACATCAGAGCGAAAACGGATATTCAACAAAAATAAAACAAGCATCATGAAAAGGAGGAGGAAAAACTGGAGTCAGGCTAGGGTTTCATGATGTCAGCTGAAAAAGAAAGTCACATGTGGGGCAAGTTTGTTCGATGAATGATTATGAAGACAAAAAAAAATACACAAAAAAGTACACAATAAGACCAGGATCAACAAAAGCAAATAGGGTCAGTTCAGTCACAGGATTTCATGTTGTCAGTTCTCACCACATCAGCAGACACTGGCGGCACATTTTCCTTCTGCTTCCCACTGTGACTGCGGACTTCATTGTCTGCTGGTTCACTCTACCAGAACCAGGAACACAAAAAGGAAAAAGGTTATCAGGGAGCATGTGCTCCTTTAAAGAAACAGTTCACCAAAAAATGAGCATTCTGTAATTTACTCATCCTGAAGGCATTCCAATTCAAAACTTAAGCACTTTTCACCCATGCAACAAAAAAGAAACGCTTCTAAAACTGATTGCTTGTTGCTGTTTTCCCATGCAAATACAATGAATGGGGACTAAAAACTTAAAACTTCAGAAAAGGATGCAAACGTGTTATCAAAATATTCTAAAATGGTCCATATGACTCTGGACTATATTCTTGTATATATATATATATAAAAAAAAAACTCTAAAAAAGCGGGCGAAATTTCTTTCATGATTCTCTGATGATCCTGACATCTCAATAAACCAGATCAGTCCAAATCATGAATGAATCATTAAGATGGTTTTATGAACAGATTCATCGATTCATTCTTTTGAGTTGATTTTTTTCCATTCACAGATTGGACAACTCAAGAAGAACTAGGGCCAATGTCAAGATTGTTAGGGATTTTTAGCAAACTTAAAAGTAGTCCACATGAATTGCATGAAAAGTTTCAGTCTCTGTTCCTTTTTAATCGAAAAATGAAATGCATGGAAATGGCCTCCTTTTTGTGTTCCAATGAAGAAAGTAAGTCAACATGAGGGCGATCTTGTCATTTTAGGGTGAACTATCCCTTCAAACCAGATGCAAATAGTGTCATGTCAGCAGAAAGAATGAACATATTGCATGTGATGAAATCATAAGGAGTGATAGTAACTGAGGGAGTGTTTATGGTGATTGGGGGGGGGGTGTCACTCACAGTGGAGGAGGAAGGGAAATCATGCTTAGTCACAGCTGCCTGGTACATGGCCATTCGGTCCCTGAGAGGGGTGGACTCCACCATTTTGACTCCAGAGTCAAGACTTTCTGTGAAGAACGGAAGAAAAAGAGATTTAGATCAGTCAGTGGGGTCTCTAATAACTATGAAAAACAATGAAAAAAGCATATGTGCCACAAGGGCAAAGTGGGAATGGGAAACAGGAATTTCCACAGAACTGCCATCAGCACTTTCCAGAAAGCGGATTCTTACAGTGTTGCAGAAAGGAAGCAGGAAGTTCAAGATGTGAGATCATGTAACTGAAAACATATTGAACAAGACTGGTGTGTTTGTGTTTAGTGTTGCATTTGATTCTGTACCTTTATCTCCTGGTTCCATATTCTCGGATCCACTGTCTCTAGACACCTAGACAGACGAACTGCCATCAGCACTTTCCAGAAAGCGGATTCTTACAGTGTTGCAGAAAGGAAGCAGGAAGTTCAAGATGTGAGATCATGTAACTGAAAACCTATTGAACAAGACTGGTGTGTTTGTGTTTAGTGTTGCATTTGATTCTGTACCTTTATCTCCTGGTTCCATATTCTCGGATCCACTGTCTCTAGACACCTAGACAGACAAAAAAAAACATGTGTTAATGAAGTATGCTAAACACAGAACAAAGACATCATTAAGAAGTCCTTAAAGTAAATGTAAATAGCCATTTGACACTCATTTTACTACCTGAATGCAAAGCATTTCAGAATGAAACAGGATATTCTATGAGAAACATAAAAACTGTAATTTCATAGACTTAAAAGCCAGACCCAATGCAAATTTGATCTCATTTCCATTCTCTCTTCCCAATAATTTCCTGTTTTTCATACTTTCATGTCCTAGTGGCTGCTAGGGTGTTCTGGGTGGTTGCTAAAGCATTGCTAGACAGTTGTTAGAGTATTCTGGGTGGTTGCCATGATGTAGATGCTAAGGTATTCTGAATGTTTTTAGCAAGTTGTGGTTGCTTGAGTCTCAGATTTTCAGCTAGAATGCCACTAAGTGATCTGGGTGGTTGCTAAGGCACTGCTAAATGGTTGCTAGGGTATTCTGGGTGTCATGGTGTTCTTATGTGGTGGTTAAGGTGTTCTGAGTGGTTTTTAGAATGTTCCTATGTGGCTGTTACAGGGTCTTCCAGATGGTTGCTAGGGTGTCACTAAGTGGTTTCTAAGGTGATCTGGGTGGTTGCTAGGGCATTGCTAAATAGTTGCTAAGTGAATTCTTACTATACACTCATATCTCTATGACCTTCTGGCATCTAGATATGGCTTGAGTCCTTCAGGGTTGCCAGGTCTGTGAAACAAAACCAGCCCAATTGCTTCTCAAAACTTGTTCAATCATGGCCAAAACAAGCCCAGTCAGGGGAAATTGACTATAAAAATCGTGTTCCGGGGGGTTATAATCGGTCAAAAATCGTGCTCCGGGTGGAGGATTTCACTTTAACTCACTGAAGACAAAAAACGACCTGCAGCAACAGTATAAAAGTAGCCCAATTCCGTGGGAAAACTGCGACACTAGAGTTCTTCCTTCAAATTCAAGTCTTGATCCATTTCATTTCCGTAAATTATTAATTTAAACCACGTGCAACATTTTGGTCTTTTATAAAGTTTGACATCTGTTATAGTTTGCTTTGCACCATGACAATAATTTAATACAATTATCAATTAAATGGGAGGATTTTTTTTTTGTGACTTCTTAGCTTTTGTTTCAGAAAATGACACTTAAAAACATTTACTTTTCAAGTGCCTAGCAAATACTGTCTTACAACAGTGTAATCAATCCCAGGACAAACACATCCTCCAAAAAGTCTGTATTCATTGTCATTGTTCTCAGGAAAGAAGCACGACATCATCCCACCCAAAAGAGAGTTTCCACATGTAACAATAACAGTATCGAGCTGAAAGCCACATGTCTTACCTATTTAAAATCAGACAGACAACAACAGGCGGTCCGCTGTGATTCCTGGAGATTTACAGAGCAGAGTCTGTCTGCCTAAAGCCCGGCAGTGCTCTGACAGCAGATTAGAGACGGTGAGCATGCCAGTGTTTTGCTGGCAGCAGCAGGAGAGATGGAGAGGGGGAGGGCTGAGAGGGTGGGGTGAGGTAGGCAGCTGGTTGAACCTCTAAATCCAACAAGGGGGCTGAAACCGGCCCACCCCCAATCATGGATTAGCCATTAGCATGGCTGTGGGGGAACCAGCCGGCCAGGCATCAGTGCAGCATCTCCAGGCTGGTGTGCCGACACCAGGGGAGCGGGAAATAAACACAGTACAAAAGGCAAAGGCAGTGCAGCCATAGGGGGCATCAGCTCAAACAAAAGACCCTCTATTAATCCAAAACACACAAAAGATGGGAACATCTGAGCCACGGCCTGCCAGAAATGAGGAGTGTCCTTATGTTATCAGAGGATAAAATCTATGACAAAAGATAAAATATATAAAGCACACACACTATATCTATCATATCTATACATGATGTCTTCTAAATTTTATTTCAGTGCTCTTTTATTTAATCCTTGAAACAAAGCGGCAAAAGTAAGATATTTTTAAACATTTGAAGATTATGCGATATTTAAAAAAAAAAAATTATTTTAGCATCGAGATACTATTATAATGTGTATTAATATTTTGCATCAGTTTATATTTTTATAATTGTCCATTTTAATTTTAGTAAAAGCTTTAGTAATTTTGTTTAGTTTTTGTCTTTTTTTATATATACGCCGTATAGACCAGTAAATTTATCATCATCATCACATACAATTGCAAAATAATTAAATAAAAACTGAAAATATTAAATCAGTAATTATATAATTATTCCGCTACTTCTTTCTACAACTAATGACGCACACTGGCTTGCGAAACATCTATGAAAGTCTAGTTTCTAATGAAATGGGTCCTACAGACTACGCACGTCAATAAATCTAGTAATATCTGGAACTTCTCTTTATTAACTGCTTTTCTCAGCAGTTCATGACGCCATTCAGCTGTCAAAGTAGCCCAAATTCCATATCCAGCGACATTCATAAAGAACATTTCTGCAGCAGATTTAAAAATAAATAAAACTGCTGGAGGAGTTGGATGAAGAATTCATATTATTTCAGTCAGTCTCTCATGACCATCCCTCAGGTTAAAGGAGAGAAATTTGGCTTTGATGGGAGCAGAAAGCTCGAATCCCTGCAGTGATCATGTGGACGTTTATCTCATGACATCAGCCCCCCGGCGAGAACGGCAAAGACTTTTAATGAGAGCAACCTCATCCCTGTTTAATGGTGGAAATGTTTTTTGAGAGGTTGAGGTTTGAGTTGAACTCAAAAAATGAAAATTCATTATTCATCAGTGTCATTAGTTATAATCAGAGTAAAAGTCAAACGGAGACTGCGTGAGGAAAAATAAAAAAACACAACTGAACTTAACATGAGAACAGCTGCAACTAGATCATCGAGTGACTGAGGTGAACTCAAGAACCAAATCAGTGACCAGTATTCTTTTAAGTCATTTAGTTTCCATGAAATATCTGGTTGGACTAAACTATTCACAAATTTAAATCACTTATTCAGTAATTTGATCGCAGCAGCTGAAAGTTTGAATTAGGGATGGGAAAAAAAAGTCCCTACCCCCAATAAGAAAACAGTGATGTTTGTCTTTGCAAGAACCACTAACTATGGTGTGTATCTAAGTTCACTGCATGCTGGGACGTTTTGAAGCACTGGTAATGCGGTGGTGACGATACAATGGGAAAAATGCATTCAGTTTCAAGTCCTTCCTTCTCCTCCACCCACACTACTTCAAAATAGCTTGCTCTTTTGCAGATAAAATGTTGGGCATGATTCCCTTTGCAGTCCGTGAAACAAACAAGACACACCATTGTGTACGGTGAAATCCCAGTACATTTTGAACACATAAACTTTGAGGAAAAAATTAGATTAAAGAATAAAATGTCAGGCTACGTCCACACAAAGCCAGAGCTTTCCCTATCCGATCTTTTTTTCCCCCCTCGTCTCAAGAAATATCTGCATCCACACGAAACCACAAAACGATGTAGTATACATGCCAGACCAATATGTGGCGCTGTAATTCTGCCACAGAGATACACTAAAAACGGGGAAGACGACTTGGACTATGTGCATAAACCTTGCGCGCGGTATACAAACGAACATGAAACAATACATTTACTAATCTGTGTTAATGTTAGTTAATAAAAAGACAATCGTTCAGTGTTAGTTCATGTTTTGGTTGCTGTTAATATAACGTAGCAGTGTCTGACTAGGGGCGAGACGTGGGCTGATGACGTCATCGTTTCAGAAAATATAGGGATTCGCTGTCCACACGAAAACGCAAGGGCGGCCTTTTCAGATTTATCCACTCTGGGACCCATTTTAAAAAAAAATATCGGTTTCACTCTCCCAAAACGCCGGATCCGTGTGGACGAAACGCCTATACGATACAAAATGTATGCGTATACAGCTAAACGCGTCTCCGTGTGGACGGGGCCTCAGATGAAGACGAGGCTTGACTAAAAAGACACCACAAGAATGTTCTTGTCATCTTCAGCCACACAGACTAGCAGAGAACAATAGTTCAGAAATTCAAATCAGTGGATCTCGTTTCAAAAGAAGCTTTAGTAAATCTAGACTTTCACATCTTCTGACAGAAATGTGATGCTTTCTCCTGCTAAAATCACTACATTAATGCTAGAGTGTTGTTGTTTTTTCGAACCCCAAGTATGAGCAATAGTAAAAGAGATGCTAGAATTAAAAAGCAACACTAACATTTAATGCAAGGTTACAGAACACAAATCAACAATAGTTCTCCTGCAGGCTGAGAAAGAAACAAAGTTCTCAGAGGGAGACTGGAGGAGCACACTGGTGTCTTCATGATCACAGAGCTGTTTTCGATTTTAATACATTTTAAAATGTAATTTATTCCTGTGACGCAAAGCTGAATTTCTTCAGTGTCAGATGATCCTTCAGAAAAAAAAAATTCTAATATGCTGATTATTTTGACTGTTTTGGTCCAAGAAGTCTCAATCAACATTTCTAAGAATATTATAAATTTAAAAAGTTGGGGGTTGGACTTTTAATTGCGCAAACCCTTTTAAACTGCACACACAAACTTTCTATTCATTCATAAATACCAACGTGATGTTATCTACTAAACTGACAAGATACCCAATTCAGATAATACATACCAATTTAGATAATTAGTTGTACTTACGTTGTTGTGAAGGGTCTCTCCTTTCTCAAACATCATCTTCAGGCTGTTGAGAGGCACTGTGGGCTTTTCAATGGGCACGTCTCTTTGCGTCCACTTCTCCATCGGCTGGTCACTGTCGCTCAACAACTAAAACAACAACAGTATATACAGTTTTAGTTATTTCAATCCTAAGTTTTGAAGAGGGCAGCTTTAAATTTAAATTCTAAAAGATCTAATTAAAAATACATTCATGATTAAAAATACATTGCTGATTGAAAGTCTTCTATGACAATTTTGTCACAAAAAAAACAACAACAGAAAATAACCAAGGAAAAGCAGTAAGAGGATATTAATGCTTGAGAGTATCTCATCAATATTTGGATTAGTAGCGATTGGCGAAACAAAATCATTGTTAGAATGTTAGGAAAAGGTTAACTATAAAAGCTTCCGAAACCTGGCAAATGGAAGGAGTGGCTCCCTCAGACTGTGCTGGAGAAAATGGGGTGGGGTGGGGGGGGGATACAGCACCAGATACTAGTCTTTAGAAACTATCTGCATAAGGGAACTAGGCCAACCCCCTAACAACAGGACAGACGAACCACGAAGAACATAAAAAAGGGGAAGTAGTGACAGGAAACGGGGGGAAAAAAGAAAGTTTGTGAAAGATATTACATGCTTATGTATATGTGCACATTATGTTATATTCAATATAAACATTTAGCCTATGTCAGGTGTCATTGAATCTTGTTTGTGGAAAAAAAAATTTAAACCGTTTAAAAGAGCTGAATAACAAACACATGATTTATATTTGCCCACACCTATCACAGGTCAGCAATCAGATCCTAAACCATTTCATCCTTGAATTCTTTAATGCTCACTAATCCAGCTGGCAAATCTAGTTCTTGGGATGGTGAAGTCATTGCTGTAGGTGTAGAAAGGAAGCCAAAAGCACAACGCTGGAGAAGACATTAGAAAATCTGACAGATGATGCACTGGAAAAATTCCTCCACACAGGAAATACACTGACCGAGAGCCAAGAAAGATGCTTCTAATGAGTCGGGCAGCAGATATTTAGCTATAAATCAAACATGCGGTCCAATATCTGAGAGCAGACTGAAAATGAGGAATTCAGTATGGAAACTCAGTCTGAAATGTTTTAGGATTCTGAACATTTTAAAACAAAGACATGAGTATTTAACATTTAAGATCAGTAATGAAATGCAAGTAAATTAGTCATTTAAAAAAAAAAAAAGAAGTGTGACGTGACATGTGGCCAAGTATGGTGACCCATACTCGGAATTAGTGCTCTGCATTTACCCATCCAAAGTGCACACACACAGCAGTGAACACACACACACCGTGAACACACACCCGGAGCAGTGGGCAGCCCGGGGAGCAGTTGGGGGTTCGGTGCCTTGCTCAAGGGCACCTCAGTCATGGAATTGAAGGTGGGAGAGAGCGCTGTACATTCACTCCCCCCACCTACAATCCCTGCCGGTACGAGACTCAAACCCACAACCTTTGGGTTATGAGTCTGACTCTCTAACCATTAGGCCATGACTTCCCATTTAAACTATGTAATATCTAATATAATTTGTAAAGTGGTTAAATGGTATTAAATTGCACTAAAATGCAAAATAGATACATTTTATTGGTGGTGTCAGACTTTTGAACCTCTAATATCTGAATTTGACTGTGTCTGGGTGTTGACAGCATCATTACATGATTTGACACCACTTTCTGCTGGTGAACCTCCTAATAATGTTGGAGCAGAGGTCTGAACATCATAAACCACTTTAGAACAAAACAGCAGCTTTTAAAACAGTGGTGCCTTGTAAAAAAGGTTGGGAAACAAGTTCTAAAGTGCACTAAAAGAGTGCTAAACACAGCAAAGAGGGAGAGGTTAAAAGACAAGTGAGATCAGTTTTAGATATGCAAATCCTGAAATTTGCTTACTTGGAAAATCGCTCAGCAATGGCCGTGTTTTTGCCTCGCACACCAATAATAGAGAGCTCCTTTGCTGTAACTCGCAAGGACTGTGAGGCCCATTGCCCACGATGAAATGAACTGACTGCCATCTTGGCTTCCTGATGTCTTCAGTAGGATTTCTGTTAGGACAGAGGCATTTCATTATTAAACTGAAATGATTGTTTTCCCATATCACTCTTGAAATGAGTCATCATTCGGCGTCAGTGCACAACACCCGTAGCCGCTATCATACAGACATGTTGTGACTTATGCCTGATATGACAGGATTTATCTCACATGATCAGGTAATTACAAGGAAACTGATCATCTGTGGGCAACTGCAAACCTCTCCTTACCCATGAAATCACATACACACATAGTCTTATATAAACAGACAGACACCAACTTACTGCTGGAAATGATCCATGTACAGATTAGGATCAGAAAGGAATTTTCCTGGTTTCACAGTGATTTTCTCATGCAGTAAATAACTATAATTAGGTTGCAATAATACTAATTCTTCAAATTAGCCAGCATTTTAATGATTAGCTTTAGAAATCTATCAATTCAAACATGTTCTGTACAGTTGAGCAAAGGGCTTTGATTTGGGCAATGCAAAGAAGCAGCAGATTTACAGCTGAAACATCACTGAAACTGCTGATACAGCAACTGAGTCATCATTACCTCAGATTACTCATGCATCATGCTGTACACTTCCATAAAACAGACTTTTAATCTGCTATATAGTCTGTTGCCTGAGAAAGAATCATATCAAAGGAGCCCAACAATGAGCTTCACTAAGTTTTAAAACTCTGAGAGATCCAAGTTTTCTCAAGGATCTCTCGTGTTGAGAGATTATGATTTGACTCAGCAGATGAGACACTCTCTCTCATCCAGAGACATAAACCAGGACTTCCTAAAAGTCAACAAATTACAGTCAAGGGCTTTCCAAAATGACTGATTTGCTTCAAGAAGACACTCATCCATTTGGCATATGCCACGTGCTTCTGCTTAAACGACATGAGAACATTCAGATGAATCCAATGAAGCGGAAACATCACACTCAGGTCACATCAACACTTCAGCATGTTTAGACAAGTCTACACTTTATTCCCAGCAGTTTGACTTATCTTTGCACTCTGCTTATAATCATACCTTCAGAAGGGTTCCCACATCTTTTGACCAACAAAATTTCAATATTCACCCAGTCAGCAGTGTAGTAGGTATTCTGAAAATCACAAAAGCAACTTCTAGCTAGCTTTTCAGTATAAAAAAAATTCATAACTTTTCCAGACTAGAAAATCACATTTTTAAAAAAAAAGCAACTTCTAGCTAGCTTTTCAGTATAAAAAAAATTCATAACTTTTCCAGACTAGAAAATCAAATTTTTTTAAAAAAAATAATAAAAGTGAGTGATAAAAATACATCTAAAGTAAACTTTAATTAAAGATAAAAATGCTTCCTCAGAATCATGTTTCAAATTAATGCACATTTCCATCTAACTTGCTAAGCTTCTTTCAAATAAATAGATACATTTAATAATCAATTCTAAATAAAAATGATCTGAAATGTTATTTTTTTAATTCACGCTACAAAATTTCTGTGACAATGGAAGCAATTCACAAGTAATGCTGAAATGTATGTGCTCATTTAACATAACAAATTAACATATTTAGCATTAAACTACATATTACAGCTCTCAACCTTTGTTTTACACAAAAATTACTTTCTAAAATCTTTATGCAACACTGTTTTTTTCCCTGTTACATTGTACTGAAAAGAAAGCTATCCCTTTTAAATTCACTTAGCACATTAGAAACATCAACTACTGAGACTCATGGCTGGTGAGACCATTGAAAGTGAGAAACCACAAAGCATGCATTTAAAATGCCAAACATGACAAGCTTGTGTTCCCTCTGAACACATCAATACAAACAAAGGCCCATGAATCACAAATCAAAACTTACATACAGTGTATCAAGCCTCCTCTTGCAGTCTTTCAGTGGATGTGCTGAAGAGTTTTCTTGTTGGGCTCTCTGTCTGTCCTCTCAGTGCTCTGAACACTCTGCTCACTTCCACATTGTTTGTGAGTGAGGAAATATACTGACTCTGCTCAGCCAATGGGAAGAGAGCTGCTTTGCACCTAGCAGGTAAGGCCCCTCCCACTGCTGGGCTCAGCAGTTCATCATCAGACTCTCAGCAGAACAGACAGAGTAGGCGAACAAGGCCTCTTCACAATCTGGGAATCCCACAGGAATCCTGGAAGTGAGCAAAAGTCCCCGCCTCCATGTCCTGCGTCCTGCTCATATTTCACCCCACAATCAAAATATAAAAAATCATTAGGACACTAGAGACTAAATTGTGTGCAACATTTTTTTTCCCCCCACATTTTTTTCTTTTCACTTTTTTTTTTTAGATTCTTATTTAGATTCTAAAACTGTGGGAACACAAAGCAGTGATGTCTCACGGAAGAGCGTCTCCAGGAGTCAGGAGGCACTGGATCAGTTTCATTAATCCCAGTCACATGGAAGTCCTGCTTGAGAATGGCACAGCATTCCACAGTGTTGGATTACGCCTTTCAGCACATATATAGATACATAAATAGACAGCTCGATATAAACACACATACATTTAATATACATTTAAAATAAACTTAAAAATAAAAACTAACAACATGTTCCCTCAGACTTTTTTGTTCCCATCTTCCCCTTTTTTTCAAATTACGCTATATGCTATATTTGATTTATTTGATCTCTAAATTGTCGTATTTTTGGTTTTCAAATTTAAAATTTGTCTACTGTAATGCCTCATTTTATTGGTCACAGGGGACCAATAAGATGCTGTAAAATATTCTCCTATCCTATCTAGTCAAGCACTTTAGTTCAGAAATGTTTGGTGGTTCATGTTCCACTTTTTACTCAATTGTGTCATGTTGAGAACCAATAAGGAATAAATGAATGATTTGTTTTTTAAATAAATGTGAGAATGGGCATATATGAACAAATATCATAAGAAAAAAATGAATAATATTTAATGCATTTTTCCTAATTACCATTTTCTTATTTTGCTGAGCACATTTATTCACATTCTTATAGATACAGATGAACTAGAAATACATGCACAAGTAATTAAATATTAATGAAACCGATCAAATATACATAATCCACTGAAAGAGCTTTCTGGCTTTCATTTGTGATTCATCTGAATTTTGTAATGGAGGTTTCCTATCAAACTTTAGTCCTAAGGAAACTTCCTCTTCCACAGAATCGCAATAGGCCATGGCTATGTAAGGGTAATTATCTATTAAAAAGATTGTCCATGCTGTTTTACTTTTACATGCAGCAGCTGTTTACCAGGTCGAAAGTGGACATGAACTAAACGAGACAGAGATGTCACCAGTGCAGAGCAAATTCCATCATAGTTTGTCGCTTCATTGTTTCTGTCTCAGCAGTTTATCACTTCCCTTAGGCTAGATTCACTGAAAGTACAGAATGGTAGTTATTTCATCATCACACTCCCATTCATGATTCATTTTAGAGTAGCTGATGAATCACAAATCAGGGTTCAGTTTTAAGGTCAGCGTGTCAGTTCTCTAGAATAGAATTAATTAGTATTAAAAAAAGATTCGGGCATTTGGAAATGAGTTGTTGATAGTGAAATTTTACATGGCTAAAACTAGCATTAGTTGAGCACGTTAATAACACTCCCTGTCCAGAAGGGGGCGGCAGCAGTAGTTGTTTTTATATCAATGTCACATTATATGCGGATGAGCCATCAAACGTTCTGAGGTAAGCAAACTTTTCTTTCGTGTTTAATGAAATGTGACTTCATTCATGTGTGTAGGGCACTTCCCTTTGGTTCTTTCTATATCTCTGTGCAGGTGAAAAGTGCTGAATTTTACACTTTCCGTTTCTACGCTGCAATAAAAGATATTCTGAAAACGTGAGCGCACGCAAATTTGTAACCGTGACAGAAACGCGTGCAAGTGGACGCGTGCTGCGCATGCTGATGAAATATCTCTTTGTTCTCTTCAGTTTCGCGCGCCTTTTTTTGCTTCTCTAGTGTTTGCAAGGTGTACGTAATCGATATGTACTAGTAAAGGCAGACTATTTTATTATGCCCGAACAAATAAAACCTCTCAACAAATGTAAAAAAAAAAAAAAAAATTTTAAAGCGCACCATAGCCGTTTATTGAAAGTAAACAAAGATGACGCATCTCCAGAAGTGGGCCACTAAACTGGAAAGTCGTTTGCAGATAATGCAAAGAAAGATGTGCTATATACAATTATACTCCCATAATCAAATAGTATTATCTGTGTAGGATCAGCACGCTATATGTATTTCATAATTCGAAAGTAATAACGAAGAACGTTTGCCGTTTTTAAAAAACAACTTGTCAATGGGAGGGATCATATGAAGACACTTCCTTCATCTCAGCGGCACCCATGATGCTTCAGCTGCAGTCTCATCTGTTGGTCTGTTCTATATATTGCTGCTTCTCACCCAAATACGAAGTATTTTATTACACGTTATACTATTTTATTTGTTTTAAGTCGTCAAGGTCGTCGCCTTTATTTATGAATACAATATTTGAAATATTCTCCTGTACTATCTAGATTAGCCAAGCCCTTTAGTTCAGAAATGTATTTCATATTAATATTTAATGTAGCCCATTTATCCCAATTACAAAGGCTTAATTTTGCTGACCACATTTAATCAACAAGTTGTAAAAGATATTTTGAAATAATTTGCTGTAGAGGAAGTGGTGTGCTTATTTTTTGATAATAACATAAAAATGTTAAAGGGGTCATATGATGCGATTTAAAGTTTTCCTTTCTCTTTGGAGTGTTACAAGCTCTTGGTGCATAAAGAAGATCTGTAAAGTTGCAAAGACTAAAGTCTCAAATCCAAAGAGATATTCTTTATAAAAGTTCAGAGTCAGCCACACCTACCTAAAACGTCTCGTTCTAACACGCCCCCACATATCTACATCACTATGTGGGAAGATTTGCATAACGCCGCCCAAATGTTCACGCAAAGAAAGAAGGTGTAACTTTTATTCTCGCTGTAGTTTTGTTGACGCTGCAGCCATGTCCTGAAGACGCTGTGTTTCGTTGTGAAAGCGAAACTACTTTGTTTGGTCTTCCAAAAGAGGACGATATCCGCTTCGTCATGCCTAGAGCTGATCTGTGCTGGTCGCTGAGGGAATACATCAACTTTCACCATGGACAAAGCGTCCAGCCTGGGGTCCTTCACATGTGGTTGCCGCTCATTCGTCGCATCCGCCGGGCACGCCGTTCTCGACCCCGCCGCCTCAGCTCACTCTATCCCGGCCTCAACTCACTCTAGCCCGGCCTCAGCTCACTCTAGCCCGGCCTCAGCTCACGCTAAGCCGGGGCTTCCCCTCACGCTAGGCCGCTGTGTTTTTCGTTGTGAAAGCGAAACTACTTTGTTTGGTCTTCCAAAAGAGGACACGACTACAAATCAGTGGTTAAGTTGTATTTACAACACTGTTCCAGAACAGTTTAACCCAAATATCCAGATGTGTGCAGCGCATTTTATGGAGGACTGTTTACTGATCCTGGGAGAGTAACGTTAGACTAAAATGCCGGCAGTTCTGACTCACGTAAGTACGTTTTCATTTAAAGGATTTGCCACTGATGAGTCAAATGTGAGTTTTGGGCAGTAGAGTAACGTTAGCACTTGTTGTTTGTCATTTCTCCGATCACGAATGCAGACAGAGTTTTATGTTTACGCAGCGCGATGCAATGCAAATGTAATGCAATGTAAAAAGACAGTATAAGTCATTATAATCAGTAATTATGTCCCCACTGGATGCAACAAATGCCTCGTTTGTAATGGGTTTTCATGTTTTTGAATCATCACTCCGGCCGGGACACGGCATCACAGTATGGTGAGGGGCGTAACATTTCCGTCTCACGCTTGAGGAATTCGGCCAATCACAACGCACTGGATAGCTGGCCAATCACAGCACACCTCGCTTTTCAGACCGATGAGCTTTGTAAAAATCGACGCGTTTCAAAAAGGCGGGGCATAGAAGAGAAACAATAATGTACAGTATGTGGAAAATAATGTGTTTTTTTTTACTTTAAACCGCATAAACACATTTCATTACACCAAATAGAGAAAATAATGTTCTTTTTAGCAGCATCATATGACCCCTTTAAATTCTTGATTGAAGGGTTGCAAAACAATCTTTTCCCCCCCTCTTTGCAGTTTCCCCAGCTATTTGTGACTGAAGCATCTTCATTTTTTTTAGGTTGTATATTTTTGTTGTTTAAAATAATTTAATTTCTGATTTTGTTGCAGCCTTGATGTTCGCTTGCAAAGCCAGTGTCAAATCTAGGTTTTCACATCACTGACCAAGCACAAGAGGCCATGGATGGGCCAGTAGATGGCACCAAGCTCATTCGGAGACTCAAGCCAGAGCTACTGGAAGCTCTGACGGGAGATCCAGACTTTCTGCTTCAGCATTGCCATGCCAGTGGCATACTGTCCAACAATGAGTACAACAACATCAAAGACATGAACATGCGTTCAAGGCAGGTACGGGACATCTTGGATTATGTGATTCACAAAGACAACAAGCATGCTCTGAATTTCCTGAAGCTGCTGAAAACACAAGACATGCAAGAGACATTTCCTAAACTACAGTTCCTCCAAAAGCTGCAAATCAACAAACGCAAGACACCAAAAAACACAGGTATGATCTTACACTCAGCCTTTGTAAAGCATCCATTATGTACCGGGAACTCCCCTAGAATTTTGGCATTATGACTTTTATGCATGTAATTCTCATTAGTGCAACTTTACATTTTTGAATGTTTATTCTCATTACTGTAATAGTCATTTCTACTGTCTTACAGTTCAGTAGTATATAAAAATATTTTTTGAAAAGTAAAATAATTTAACATATAATTAATTATATGCAATAAATGTTACCATAATGTATAAATATTCAAAAGAGAAAGATAACCAACTTTGTTACAGTAATGAGAATTGAACTGTGTTGCATTACATCTTAATTGTCCTGAAAATCTATAATTGATTAATTTTACAACATAAACACTGTTATTTTCCTCTTTTATTAATGTGAAGCTTCTTTGACACGTTCTGTATTGTAAAAAGCACTGTATAAATAATTGGGTTTCTGCTGATCTTAAAAAGTCTGAATTGGCCCTTCTACTAATTAGGGCCTAAAAAGGTCTTAAACTGGAGCAGAGAGTTTTAAAATCATAAAGGTTAAATTCATAAAGTCATGGCATTAAATGTTGCATGCAATGCAAAAAGTGAATGTCTTCCTCAGTATTTTGTATCAAATCAAGATACATTTACTTTAGACACAATTTAAACATATTAAGTCTTGTTTTCTGAGAAATTGAACAAAATTAAGTGATCTTATGTTTAAAACAAGAACAAATATCAATCAATAGGGGAATGAAAACTTGTTGTCCCAATTGAATTAAGTAGATTTTTCCAATCAAATTTTTAAATTATGTAATGCCAATTATATTTGTTCTTGTTTGAATCATAAACTCACTTCATTTTGATCTGTTTCTCATAAAACAAGACATAAAAAAATGTCATTTTGCTCCTAGAGTAAATTTCTCTTGCTTTAAGAATCTTTAGACGTTTGCACTGGGAAACGACAAAAATACTGATGAAGAACATCACTTTTTTTTACAGTGTGATCAGAAGGTCCAGTAAAACAGTAAAAGTTATCTCCATATTGTAGTGTATGTTTTTTCTAGTGTACATTTTTTGTAAAATGACTAAATAATCCAGGTCTGTTGGAAGTTGTACTTTGAAAGCATTGCTAATAAAAGACATTTACATTTAGAGAACCTATTGATGTATTTTGTTCCATTCAGTTTATTCCTAACTTGATCTTAAAAAGGTCTTGAAAGTCTTAAATTTACCATCATAAAACCTGCAGAAACCCTAAAATAAATATGACTTGAAAATAATGTCACAATGCAAAAAAAGATCCTAATAGTACACTTTTTTAAAATATGTATATACATTATTTATTTCACTCCATTGCCTTCAAACTTTCTAGTTCATGCAGTAATCTATTTGTAATTTGAAACTGATGTTGGTTTATCAGAGAAGACAGCAAAAAGACGGCAGGAGATGTTGGAAAACAATGTACGGCAGGAGCAGCAGCGTATCATCAGTGAGTCACAAACACACCTCTGCTTTGCATCTTCTGTAGCAGCTTTGTGACCACATTGCTGCATTACGTAACTTTGCTTTTTCTCAGGCACCAGGATGATGAGCGAGAGGGAGATGATGATGGTAGCCGGCTGCATTGGGAACAGCTGGAGGGAGGTGGGCATTATGGCACTGGGTATGAACACCACCACTCTGCAGCAGATAGAGGAGGACAACAGCCAACACAAAATGCGGGTTTTCACCATGCTGCGAAAATGGAGCATACGTGAGAGGGAACAAGCCACGGCAGCTCGTCTCCATTCCCTACTAACCCAAGAGGAGAGCGGCATAGACACTCTGAAAATCAACTTCCTGTTGGAAAACAACTGAGGCTGCTAGGAGGACTTCAATAGGGTGATGCAGATGTGATGTCAAAACCTTCTCTATGGGTTTTTAATCATGGAGTTTTTAAAACTGTGGTAAATATAAATTGTCAATACTTGACACTTAAGCAGTTATGGGTATTTTTAAAAATTTATGTTTGTAATAAGTGACTACATAGGAATGTTTAGGGTGAGTGTGTGCAGTTTATATTGTAAAACAAAATGTCCATGTATCATTAAGTTGTGTATTACCACAGATCTTATTTTACTCATTAATTTAAAAGGATAGTTCACCCTAAAATGAAAATTCTGTCATAATTTACTCCCCCCCACTTGTTCCAAACCTGTAGGACTTTCTTTGTTCTGCTGAAGACAAAAATGGAATTTTGAAGAAAGTTGTAAACAAAACAGTTGATGGTAGCCATTGACTTTCCATACTATGGAAGTCAATGGCTACCGTCAACTGCTTGGTTACCAACATTCTTCAAAATATCTTCTTTTGTGGTCAACAGCTGAAAGAAATTCATATAGGTTTGGAACAACTCGAGGGTGAGTAAATGATGACAGAATTTTCATTTTTGGTTGATCTATCCCTTTAAAACCCCCATTATAATAACCCATATGAAAATCTCAATGGAACACATGGTGAATTCATTCTTTTGGATTTTGAAGTTGCAGCTGCAGCACTTTCTGTATATGTAGCACTTTGCATTCACAGACATGCAAACATACCACTAGGGTGAGCTATAACTGCTAGTCAGTTATATTAAAAATGTGGACTGTTTATTTGTCTTTTTTTGTTTGTTTAGTAAAGACTATGTATAAAGTCAGCTACAAGCGTGAAATAATAGGGAAACGTAATGCAACAAGCTATAATGCGAGTATTTCAAATATTTTTCTTAAACCTAATGTGCAAAAACTTTTTATTTTAATTTTTTTGCTTAATAGCAAATATGTTTACATAACAAATTGTAGTGCATAATTTTTTTTCAAAAAGGGGCAGAACTGAATAAACTATTAGACTAAAGTTTTGTTTTATTGCAATGTTTTTTTTTATTTTTTTTATGGCATTATTACTTAACTGTTTTTCTGGTAAGCTTATTTTCCTGTAAGATCAAGTTCCATTCCTACTTTTTAGATTATTTTGCTTTCTGAAATATAAGTTTCAGGTGAGCCTGAATTGTACGGTAGCATTCCATTCTACAGAATAATACTTTTCCTTTTACAAGTAAATGAATGTGAAAGCTTTTATCAAAGTCTTAAACTTGAACTGATTCCATGAACAGATAAGGAAGACTGATGTTTATGACGGAAGTTCCAATAGAGACTGCTATCTGGCAACATAACGGCGACCTTCGCTCTCTCGGCAAGTATCACGTTGTTTCACCCTGATGCATTTTCACCCTGGTGTTTCACCCTTGTTCACCCTTGTTTTGCATGCCAAGCAGGTGATAGGATTGGAGGCGGAGCTTTGTACAATTCCATTGCACAGGCCTGTCATTAAACAGTGTCTAGTCTTGCCAGATTTCATGGAATCTTTTGCTTTGGGTTTATTGCAATCTGATGTGGGAACAGTCATTTCAAATTGTTGTTATGTTACTCTGTTTTTGTAACTTTTCTATACTTCTTAATCATATATCTGTTTTGTAAAAAATTGATCATGCTTCTGTGATGGTTTATTTTTAAATACAAAAAAAATCAATATAAATAAAGAAATAAATCATTACTGTCATTTTGATTTTAAGATTTTTTTTTTTATAACTTGTTTTATTGTATAATTTAGATATTTGTCAGATTTGCAGTATCCTGTTTATTGATTTATGGGCTAAAGCAATAAAAAGCTGGCTCCTGGAAAGCATAGTTTTTTGATGCTGAATCTCATCTCTTCAGAATCTCTGTGACATATAGGGTGGATTTCTTTTGTTCAGACAAAACATTTGAAAACTAGATGAAATTGTAATCCAACCACACCCCCTGGATCTTGTGTTCTGCAGTGAGGGGCTATTGGGAATACAAGCTGGTAGGGGCAGGATCAGCCTGGTAGATGTTGATCAGGTCGGTTAGTTCTAGACGACATTGATCACCAGTTACATCAGTTACAAACCAGCTGCAATGTTTCATAAACCATATGAAGATTATATGACATTGCTATTATGATATGACTTTGATATATATATGTGTTTAACACTTACTAATCGTAAGTATATATATATACTTACGATTACAAATCGTGTATATATATATATATATATATATATATATACACACACACTTTTTGCATGTTGCATTTTTTGCGTACTGTTTTAATCCTATATCATGAAGATCGTGAAGAGTACGAATTGTGTCTTTGGTTATTATTAACTTAAAATGAATTATTTATTGAACATTGGTTTGTTTTATCATTGGGGGTGTTGGGGGGTGTTGGGGGTAACGCATTACAAGTAACGCGAGTTACGTAATCAGATTACTTTTTTCAAGTAACTAGTAAAGTAACGCATTACTTTTTAATTTACAAGAGTTACTTTTTCAAATAAGTAATGCAAGTTACTCCCCCCCCCAATTTATTGATTGACAGCTCTCCTGTCCCCATGTTGAGAGAAGTCAGAAGATGTTACTGTAGTTCTAAAATAAATATGAATATGCATTCATTCATCTCTCACAAAAAAAAAAAACAAATTCAGTATTCCTCAAAATGAATAAAAATAATGCAACTCAGAATATGACGCAAACCTGCAATAATTAAATGTTAAACAACACAAATATCCTTTATGTATTTAATCCCATTCTATTAACCAATGGCTTTGCTTCTGACCTTCGATGATCCAGTTCAACCATACTAATAAGCACAAATTACTCTAGAAAAACATTTGTGTGTCTTTTTTTTATTGCTGAAGTGTGTTGAAATTTCTTCTTCTGCATTCTACTGTACAGACGTTAATGTACTTTCCCTTCAGCCTGAGGCTTATTCATTTCACTTCTGGTATGAAAAGGCTTTTATATTTGCCAAAAATAGAACTTTTTCATTTTAAAAACAAACAAGCAAGCCCTCTCCAGATTTAAAAAGTAACGCAAAAGTAACGTAACACATTACTTTCCATAAAAAGTAACTAAGTAACGTGATTAGTTACTTTTTTATGGAGTAACGTAATATTGTAATGCATTACTTTTAAAAGTAACTTTCCCCAACACTGTTTAGTAATAAATGTTCTTTTATATGTATCTGTAACAGAATATATTAATGGCCATGTCCACCTGGAAGAATATGAGTCAGATGGCAAGCTGTTCCTTACTGAGGCTTTCAATGTGATTATGGAGGAGATACTTCACAAAGGAACTGACTTGAAGGAGAAGGTCAAGTCTTTTAAGAATTTATCATCTCATTTAACAGCTGGGTCTTCCTATCCTATCATGTATCTCATGAGATCAGCTGCATATCTTTGTATTCACAGGTGTGTGAGTGGAAAGATCCAGATCAACTGAGAGCTCTTCTGGACCTTGATCTCAGAGAACATGGAGAATCTCACGAGCAGCTACTGCAGAGGGTCCGAGATGTGGCGAGATACAGCGTTAAAACCTGTATGTTGGATGTGTTTGGATCACATCCCACTAATTATTCATATTAGTGGTTGTCCTATATGGTAGGGGTGGGGTCAGCCTGGTAGATGTAACAGTGTTTTATTCTGAAATGATTAAATTAGTTCCTCCTAAATCTTGAATATGTGGTTACATCCTGGTCCAGAGCCTTTTCTCATTCACAGGTCATCCTCGGTTCTTCAATCAGCTGTTTGCTGGCGTGGACTACCATGCATTGACAGGACGGCTCCTCACTGAAACGCTCAACACCAGCCAGTACGTGTGGATGCACTTTCATGTATATATTTTCAGGTGTTCATGTTAAAGTGTTACAGTGAATGTGCCATCCTAGATCCTCAGATGTGGGTTGTAAGATGGTCTGTATGGCGTTTCATTAACTGAAGGGTTCATAAGTGTTAAACTTGGAGTAAATTGTAAACTGTTACACTGTTTCTGAAGTGTCCCATTAAATCCTGTTGTCATAGTAATAAGTAACTTATCAGAGCACTTGAAATTATCAGATGACACTGTTTGATAACAGCATGGAGCCACAGTTTTCATCTAAAAACTGTGATTTGATTAGAGATTGATTAAATTAGGATCTGGAATTTTTAGATAATGCAAACAGTGTTGTTATCATTAACTAAAACTAAGATATTTTTTTTATTTGAAAAATTACATGCACTTTATAAATTTGAAAAAAAAAATTTTTATAAAACAACCAAAGCACACAACAAAATTGTTAAAACTGAAAACAGAAAATAAAAACTACTTCAAAATCTTAAAGGAATAGTACACCCCAAAATTAAATTTTTCTAAAAATGTACTCACCCTTAGGCCATCCAAGATGTAGATTAATTTGTTTCTTCATGGCAAAATATTTGGAGTAATTTAGCATTACATCACTTACTCCCCAATGGATCCTCTGAAGTGAATGGGTGCCGTCAGAATGAGAGTCCAAACAGCTGATAAAAACATCCCAATAATCCACACCGCTCCAGTCCATCAGTTAACATCTTGTGAAGTGAAAAGCTGCGTGTTTGTACGAAACAAATCCATCAAGATATTTTAACTTCAACCCATCGCTTCTGACCAAAGTCCATAATCCATAATAACGCTTTGTCCATTGAAAAAGTCAATCTCCTGTTGTCCTCTTACATAAAAAAATCCACCGACACATAACAGTTTAAGACTGGTTTTGCATGTAACCTGTGCTTGATCTGTGCATATTTCTCTTCTGATTCAGACAAGACAACTCTTTCACTGGAGGAAGCAATATTGTGGATAGACTACTTTAGATATTATGGATAGGCTATTTTAGCCAGAAGCAGTTAAAAATGTCATAACAAACATGGAGCTTTTCACTACACAAGATGTTAATTGATGAATTGGAGTGGTGTGGATTATTTTTATGTTTTTATCAGCTGTTTGGACTCTCATTCTGACGGCACCCATTCACTGCAGATGATCCATTGGTGAACAAGTGATGTACTGCTAAATTTCTCCAAACTATTATAATAGCATATTGATGATACTAAAATAACACTGATACAAATACATACACATATCATGCTCAAAGTACTCAGTGTGAAGTTGTTTCAGATACACCTATGAAGTGGCTCCGGTGTTTGTCCTGATGGAGGAGGAAGTGCTCCGTCAGCTTCGCTCTCTGGTTGGCTGGTCAGAAGGAGATGGGATATTTTGTCCCGGGGGTTCAGTGTCCAACATGTACGCCATGAACATCGCACGGTACTGGGCCTTCCCTCAAGTGAAGACACAAGGCTTGTGGGCCACTGTCCCATTAAATCCTGTTGTCATAGTAATAAGTAACTTATCAGAGCACTTGAAATTATCAGATGACACTGTTTGATAACAGCATGGAGCCACAGTTTTCATCTAAAAACTGTGATTTGATTAGAGATTGATTAAATTAGGATCTGGAATTTTTAGATAATGCAAACAGTGTTGTTATCATTAACTAAAACTAAGATATTTTTTTTATTTGAAAAATTACATGCACTTTATAAATTTGAAAAAAAAAATTTTTATAAAACAACCAAAGCACACAACAAAATTGTTAAAACTGAAAACAGAAAATAAAAACTACTTCAAAATCTTAAAGGAATAGTACACCCCAAAATTAAATTTTTCTAAAAATGTACTCACCCTTAGGCCATCCAAGATGTAGATTAATTTGTTTCTTCATGGCAAAATATTTGGAGTAATTTAGCATTACATCACTTACTCCCCAATGGATCCTCTGAAGTGAATGGGTGCCGTCAGAATGAGAGTCCAAACAGCTGATAAAAACATCCCAATAATCCACACCGCTCCAGTCCATCAGTTAACATCTTGTGAAGTGAAAAGCTGCGTGTTTGTACGAAACAAATCCATCAAGATATTTTAACTTCAACCCATCGCTTCTGACCAAAGTCCATAATCCATAATAACGCTTTGTCCATTGAAAAAGTCAATCTCCTGTTGTCCTCTTACATAAAAAAATCCACCGACACATAACAGTTTAAGACTGGTTTTGCATGTAACCTGTGCTTGATCTGTGCATATTTCTCTTCTGATTCAGACAAGACAACTCTTTCACTGGAGGAAGCAATATTATGGATAGACTACTTTAGATATTATGGATAGGCTATTTTAGCCAGAAGCAGTTAAAAATGTCATAACAAACACGGAGCTTTTCACTACACAAGATGTTAATTGATGAATTGGAGTGGTGTGGATTATTTTGGTTTTTATCAGCTGTTTGGACTCTCATTCTGACGGCACCCATTCACTGCAGATGATCCATTGGTGAACAAGTGATGTACTGCTAAATTTCTCCAAACTATTATAATAGCATATTGATGATACTAAAATAACACTGATACAAATACATACACATATCATGCTCAAAGTACTCAGTGTGAAGTTGTTTCAGATACACCTATGAAGTGGCTCCGGTGTTTGTCCTGATGGAGGAGGAAGTGCTCCGTCAGCTTCGCTCTCTGGTTGGCTGGTCAGAAGGAGATGGGATATTTTGTCCCGGGGGTTCAGTGTCCAACATGTACGCCATG